AGGGGGATCTAGAGAGACGACAAACTGAAGCTGCTACCAGGTAAACTAACTGCTGGATAATGAGGGGGATCTAGAGAGACGACAAACTGTAGCTGCTACCAGGTAAACTAACTACTGGAAAGTGAGAGACGGCCTTTTTTTGACGTTTTTTTTCAATTTCAATTTTAACAAAATTCTATAAATGATGAGATGATAGCATCATCATGCTTGACTAATTTTGATGTCCTTACAATTGCTGCCAAGTTTTTGTAAGTTCTAGAACCACTTCTCAAGAGGCCTGGCTTAGTTTTCTTTTTTTCTGAACTCTGTATATTTTGTTTAGTTTTCACATGTACGCAAGGGGAATAAGGTGGGGGGGGGGGGAAAATTCCCATCCACCCAAAATTTCTTTTTTTCCTCCTTCTTTTCTTCTTGTTTGTTGCTCATTTTCTCCATTTTGAGGCCTCTCTATGTGGTTCTTGGTGGCATCGAGTTATGGAACAGGAAAAGACGGAAGTAAGGAATGTTTACAAGGAAGGGTAGTGAGGAGTTCTTTAGGAAATTCCTTCTCTCCTTCGCTTTATAGTGTTTTCCCACTCTGCAGAATATAAGGGTTTCCCATTGAAATTGCACCAGGCATACAGCATGTGGATTTGTAGGTTTAATGCCTCAGAATGTGGCTTCATCGATAATAGTCTCTATTTTTCACAGCAGGCCGAGTATAAACCGGTCTCATTTTGGCATGGCTTACCACCTGTCAGGGATACTACTTTTTATGTTTCCATTTTTCTTGTTTCTGGTTAGAGAGAGGGGGTGGGAGAGTGATGATGTACGCTAATCCTTTACTAATTGTACAGGCCATGTACTCCACTTTCATAGGTGAATCTGTATATTACAGTACTTGGGGTGATTTCCGAAAATATTTTTTTTTCATTTAAGCAGGCATAGGTTTTCTATCAAAAAAAACTTAATAAAACTTAATGTAGACATAATTTCAAGTGATCTTTTCCTTAGCATTTTTTTTTTTCTAAATACCGATTCCATATCCGGTTAGGAGAATTTGTTTTCCATATTACTATTGAAATTCATTGCTATTTTATCGTGTGCAGGATTATATTTTCACAGGAATATTACATCATCAATAAACGGTTCCGAGAAAACTGAGTAAAATCTAATATACAAAACCTTCCCATACACTTGTACTCTGAAAGTGCACTGCATATTTGATGTTTGTACTGTATGAATAGGCCATAATCTCTTAACATATTCTTGTATCAGTAAACTGTCCTAATTGTACACTTAGGCTAATATACACGGACAGGTAGCTAAAATCCAGCCCCCCTGGCATAGAGATACCCAGACTCTTGTACTGTTTAGTTCCTCTGTTTGCTTTTAGAGACGGTGTGTAATTGTATTTACAGAAGAGTGTTTGAATGTTTGTGTTTTTCAATTTTTATGTCTGTCCAATTTTAACTTAAGCTAATTCATAAACACATTCACAATTAATTTACATTAGAAATGATTTAAAAGAAGATACCCCCCCTGTCAAGAAATTATGATGTGCAATTTTAAATCACAACGTATATTACAATCTGTAAGACCACAAATCTTCCTTAAACTCTGATTTGATTTGATTTAATTTTTAATTTTATTTTTTTCACTAGTATTTATATGTCTCAGTTTTTACAAAGTAAGTATTTTTATTGAATCATCTCACTTTTATCATTGTAAAGTTTTTGGAGAAATACCGAAATAAAGTTTTAAAGAAGAAGAAGAACAATATTTTCATAAATGTTTCATTAAAGAAAAGAAAAATATTATTTATTCTGAATTTTGAATTTAATATCTAAACCAAAAAACGGGAACGACAAAAACTGAATCGACTCACTGACAAACGAAATATTAAATTTCGGAACTAAAAACTAAAAAGAAAAGTGGGTTAGAAAATATTTTTTGTTCACTTTATTTTGAAGGATAATTGACGTAATTACCAATCTAAAACATCTGACAGAAGAAAAAGGTTTTTGATCTCCTGGGAACCAGTTTATAAATATAATCCTTCAAGGGACTGACTGTAATTTCATTGGTTCCTCCTTTTTACAAGTTCCATATCTGATTCACAACCTTTCTCTGAGCAAATAAGATTGAGGTTTCCTTATATTTCCATCTGAAAATTGATATTTTGAAAAGGAAAGAATTTTTCGGATAGAAAACGTCATCTTCATAGTTACTCGGATTAAGTCTCTTTCAGAACTCAGGGGTTGTTTATGTATTTTGAATGATGGGAAATAGGTAAAGGATGGAGTTCAGGAGTTGATAGGGGGGTTTCTTCGATCTGTGATGTAAATTTAGAAAAAGTAGCTGAACGGCTAGTTTATTTGGCAATCTCAACTGACCTGGTCGTCTCCCTATTTGATACTACTAACTTACCCTAAAAGAGTAATTGAGTTTCCCCTTTATCAAACTATTTACTTCCTCCATTTGAGAGTTAAACAAAGATTTTGGGGTTTTAATATGATGTTTAAAATATGTTTTCCTTTTAAGATTGGATCAGCAGAAACAGGAGTTGGAGGAGAAGAAAGCAGCATTCGAACAGGAGCGTCAAGCATGGGAGCAGATGAATAACATCACTATGGGTAGGTTTATTTGCATTTTTCGATATACAGAGTTGAAAACTGAAGAATTATATATCCTTAATCCCAATTGCTTAATCTTAAAATCCATTATGGAAACTTTTGCTTTTCTGTGTTAATCAAGGTTGTTTTTAAAGGTGGTTTACTCTAGATGTGCTCCAATGTACGGAACATATTGTCTCTGTGACAGTAAAATCCCTAATGACGTCACTGACTAATGATTATTGAGGCGAGTGTATGGATCAGAGACATCATTTACGGATTTTAGTGTTCAGTGTTCATTTCTTACATGACGATATTACTAGAATTTGAGAAGAATATTGACAACATATATTTCCTCCGACAAAAAGAGCATTAATAGAGTTTGAAAAGAATAATGACAACATATATTTCTTCCGACATAAAGAGCATTATTAGAATTTGAGAAGAATAATGACAACATATATTTCCTCCGACATAAAGAGCATTGCTAGAGTTTGAGAAGAATAATGACAACATATATTTCCTCCGACATAAAGAGCATTACTAGAATTTGAGAAGAATAATGACAACATATATTTCCTCCGACATAAAGAGCATTACTAGAACTTCTAATTAATTAAAAAATAAGTTCGTAAAGATAAAAGCTGAGAGAATTAAGCTGAAACTAACGAAGCATAATCTTCTTTCCCTGGCAAACATTTAACAGAGAACTTTAAGAGCCAGAAAGTAAATTAATAGTAATTAACATTAAAGTTAAAAATTGAGCTTTTTGTGCCATATTATACTTTCGTACATTTGTTGTGTTTCCATGCTCTCGCACAATTTAACTCTTGTTAGATGATTTGATTTGATAAGTCTAGAATCCCTTTTATGTAACTAGTGTTTAGATGATTTGATTTGATGAGTCTAGAATCCATATTATTTAACTAGTGTTTAGATGATTTGATTTGATGAGTCTAGAATCCCTATTATTTAACTATTGTTTAGATGATTTGATTTGATGAGTCTAGAATCCATATTATTTAACTAATGGATAGATGATTTGATTTGATGAGTCTAGAATCCCTATTATTTAACTATTGTTTAGATGATTTGATTTGATAAGCCTAGAATCCCTATTATCTAACTATTGTTTAGATGATTTGAAGCGTATGAGTCTAGAATCCCTGGATGGAAAAAAGAAAAAAGGAGGTTTATCCGGGGTTTCCTTTAGGATGGGGAAATGACACTAGTAGACCAGTCATGTACTCCCTAGATACATAGAGACAAAGAACCTAACCTTTTTTAACAATGTCAACTATCTATTTGTGTATCTATCTTATGGTGTTTTTATTGTACAATGCTGGTGACAATAGATGTAAAGTTAAGACATATCTTGCTTCTCAGAAGAAGTGTACACTCGGACAGTACATACAATGTACTCCATGAACTCATCGTACCTTCATATTTCAATACATACACTGTAAGAAATAGTTTGAATCCAGTTTTGTGTGAATGTGAGCTTAATATGTAAATTTGTTAACGCTATATTAGAACTTCTTTACTCCCTTCCAATTTGTAATGTACAACCACTGAATATGCAAGTAATACCCCCTAGCGGGGCTAAAGGTTTTGATAATGTGTTTTATAATTAAGAATTTACTACTGTATTATGTGTTAAAGTATATTGAAAACCCTATGTGTGTAGAACTATGGTAGGAGGAGGATAATCTACAGTCCTCGTCGTATGTATCAATACAATGAAGACGACTTTCTATTTCAATTTTGATTTCTTCCAAGCTTTCGAACAGCAAAGACACATTAAAATTTTAACAAAGAGAAGGTTTTCAGTTTACAGCTTCTCTTAATTTACATGTAAACTTGCAATTTAAAAAATGCTTGTCAGGGATAAAAGCATTATGAATAAAAAGTCCTTCATTGTATTAATAAAAATGACGTAAATTATAACTGGTAAGAACTGGTTTTTATTTTTAAATAAACAACAGTTAGTATTCTGTGTCTTCAAAAGCTGGACTTTCCCTTTATTTACTTCTGTGTTATTGTTCGGATAAAACCAGTTTCTAGCAGTCCTAGTACGTCACGGTAATATTAGTACACAAATCTTATTCCTCCTAAGTTAGTTCTACACACGTTTTCTAAACCAAATTTGGACGTTCTCTCTTTCTCTCTTATTGGTCAATTTGGCGAACATTTTGTACTGTGTCGTCGTTCATGTACAAGAATAGTTCATGAAGAATAGTTCATGTACAAGAATAGTTCATGAAGAATAGTTCAGGTACAAAAATAGTTCATGAAGAATAGTTAATGTACAAGAATAGTTCATGAAGAATAGTTCATGTACAAGAATAGTTCATGAAGAATAGTTCAGGTACAAGAATAGTTCATGAAGAATAGTTCAGGTTTGATCCTATATTCCTCTAATCAGAAAGTTATAGTACAGTTCGATTACTCTCATAATCTCTTGGGGCCTTGAAGGCCAGACTTCCCCCCCCCCCCCCCCCC